AATGCAAGCCTGTTCCTCAAAAGGGCAAGAAGTAGCCAGCTCCAAAAAAGAAAAACAAGGTGTGAACAAGCAGGCTGTGAAAGACAGCTACAAACTGCGCACTGGGGAATACGTGTCTGTAGTATCCATACATCCCCATTGATCCAAAGAGCTTTCCGCAGAGCCACCCTCTGGTCTGGTATCCATGGACAAGAAACTGGTCACACGAAGGGGCCAGCAGCTCCTCAGATGTGGTCCTCTGAAGGAGGCCCACACTGCTGCCAAGAAGGTTTTACGCTGCTTCGCTCTGAGGCAGCACAAAAAAATGGTTTTTATCCATCTCCGAGAATGAATCAAGCTAACCCCACGCACACCACGTGAAAACCTGTCCCATCAGCTCTGCACAACAGACACAGCTTGACACACTAAGCTGCAATGAGGATGTTTTCCACATGGCATTCAGAGCTGTCCTGGCACCAAAGTGAAGCTTAGGTGGAATTCAGTCAACGTCATTAATAAATAAATTCAAAGGGAAATTACTTGGAAAAGAGCAAACCGCAGCACTGGAAGTTGGCTGGCCTTTCTAACCTCCCACCCCCAAATTACTCACAACACGGAGGTTTCCTTTGATCTCCCAATTGCCTCACTGCCTCCAAGCTCTGTCACTTCTCCAACACCTCCTTAAATTCAGCCTTGTCTTCCTAATCCATGTGCCGATCCAAATCCAGTTCATTTCTCAAAGCACGGCACCCCGCTCTTTGTAGCCCTCCTGCATCTCCTTCTTCCACCTCTGCTCCCCACCGCACGCTACAGCTCCAACCACCTGCCTGGCCCTCATCGAGGTACCTGCCCTGACCAAGCACCGCGGCTGCTCTGCCGGTGCCACCGGTGCCACGTCACGGACAGACCCTGTGCCCTCCTGCATCCCCCCAGGAACAAACCCCAGCGCAGGGGGTATCTTCTCAAGCCTGGAGATGGCCATGCAGGTACCTGGTGCCTTACAGGACAGTGAGTAAGCAGTGAGAACTCCACATTTTACCCCTACCAAAAGTCTTCCCAAAACTGTTTCACCAAGCAGCAGTCAGTCCTTCGTAGTCTAAGCCAGGGCACAGCAGCAGCAGCCACCAGGACGGCGTGGATTTGCTGGGATGGGGAATTCTCCTCCAAGCCAGCTGCTTCACGCAGGCCTTGGCTTGTGCAGGTAATTTTCATTCCGGCGCTGGCTGGCCTGTGAGCTCCTGGCTTGGCAGGACTAGTGCCATGGGTATTATGAATAATGACATGGTATATAATAATATAGTGGCAGGGAGTGGGAATACATTCTGAAGCAGAAAAGAGCAATTGGAGGGCTCTTAATCACCTAGCAGGGGCTGCGGTCCTCCGCTAACAATCACACATCTTCAGGTGCCTCACTGGTGTTCGGATTTGTTATTCATTATAGCCCAGCAACAAGAGGATAACACACACTGCTAAACTCAGCACTAAATCAGGCTCAACCTTTGCCACCCAGTCAGAACCCCTCCTGCATCCCCCCGCCCCAACACATCACATCGCTGCTGCTCGTCCTGACACCTCGAAACAAAGAGCAAAGGCAAGAGGGGAACTGGCCACTGTCAGCAGCACTTCTGCAGCCCAGCAGCGGTCGTCTGGCGGCCGCTCGCTCTTCGGCACAAATAAAAACCTCTGCACCAATTCGCCCAGTAGCGCTGGGAGCAGCTCGCGCCGGCCCGTGTCTCTCCGTCTCCAGCCTCCCCCCTCTGATGCACAGACACAAACGGTCACGCCATGCCATGTCGAGATGCCTGGCATGACTGAGCTGTCTCCGAGCCTTCTCCAGGCAAATGGATTGCTCTGATTAAAGTGAGCACAATGAGGCTCTCTCCAGCAAGGGACAGCCCATCATTTTGCAGATGAGAATGCCCATTTCAGTCCTCCTCTGTGTTCAACAGAGGCAGCTGAATCATGTCCTGGTGCTCTACCTGGAGGTAAGGTTTATCCCCTCAATACCATTTTGCATCATACAGAGCAAGGCAAGAGCCTCAGAGATCTTTTTCGTATCTGTGACATATCATGAGGTGCTGCAAATCAGTGTTACCCCACTGAAGCTATACTTATCTGTACCTCCTGAGAATCTGATTTGGCAAAAGCATGGACACAGCTGGGAACTGCAAGTTAAAGTTTATTTAGTTTTTCAACATAAGAATGCAAATGCAAGAAAAGGAACAATACGTGGAAAAGTTCCTGCAGTTCTTCCCTTCTTCAAAGCAAAGCTCTCTGACTGAAATAGCGCAGCGAAATTAAGATCATTTGTTTCCAAACTGAAATCCCAAGACTCTTCCGTATTTGAAAAGCGTCATAGATGCTTTTTGGATGGCTGCTTTGCCTTGTCGATAGAAAAGGAGCAAGTATGAAGGGAGGAAGACATTCCTCTAAGCAGAATTCACAGGGGGCTTCAGCACATTGACTCTGCAAAGACTGGGCACAGGCTCGCTAAATCCTAAATGCTCAGAGGGATGAGCTGAAAGCATGGACTTTGATTTTAGGGCTAACAAACCTCTGTCTCTTAGGGATACGTATATGCTCTACGCACAATGCCCACGCTGCCCTGCAGCACTCTCCGGCGCAGCCGTGCGTTCTCCTTCCCAAACACCTGGCACCACGTGCACTGCACTTGGGGCTTAGCCTGTGGCCCTCATTCTGTGTGCTGCAGGACTGTGAGGGGGTGTAGGGGTTAACTGGAACATAATGAAGAAGAACCAAGTTGAGGATGCAAGGGGTCAGTCATCAAAGTTCGCTTGTTTGGTGGTTCCCTTCCACTGGATAAATGTCACACACTTCATTTCCCACGATGAAAACATTTTGCTCTCAGTCTCACTATAAGAAAAGGCAAACAGGGGCCATCCCGAGCCAGGGGAAATTGTGAACCCAATATGAAAGACACAGATGAAATGGGTAGCTGATTGGTTTAATTGCAACCTAATTGCCTCAATCACAAGTTCAAAAGTAGATGGCATTGGGTTTTAATTAAGAGGACTGCTTGAAGGATCTCAACTCCATCATTTTTTCAGTCAAAGAGGTATGGAAAAAAGGTCAGAAAATTGTACTTTTAGTTAACACAAACTCAAGGTAATTATCAGATCCAGCAGAAAATTCTCAGAAGTATCAATAACTATCGACAGACGCTGAGCCTCTATTAGACACACTACTTAAACACACTGCATCTTTTCCCCCGTCACCCAAGGGCAATCCCAGTCCTCAGCTCTCAACAGCCCATCCCGTGTCCTGCTGCAGCACCCCAGCGTACCTCGCAGATGTCCTTGAGGTGCTTGATGTAGTGGCGCTCCGTGCTCATGATTTCATTGATGACGTTGGCTCTCATCTGGTCTCGGTTCTGAACGGTCCTGCCGAGACAGAGGCAGTCGGCGCTTGGATCCAAATGGCCATTCTGCACATCGCTGGTTCCCTCCTCCACACCATCTTCTTGGTTTACCCATAGCTGCGAGGAGAAGAGAAGCAACAGGCTTGTTCATAAAAGCATCAGGAATTCCCACACGCCATCAGCTGGGGCTGTCCGACAGGAAGAAACCTCTGGGAGGAGGGATAAGCCCTTTACAGGTGTCTGATTTAAGAAAGTCAAGATACGTCTGGCTCAGAAATCTGAATGAATGTGACCATCTCCTAAATGATGGGTGATAGAACAAGAGGAAATGGGTATAAGCTTAGTCAGGGGAGATTCAGGTTGGATGTTAGAAAGAATTTCTTCTCTGAAAGGGTTGTCAGCCACTGGAATAGGCTGCCCAGGGAGGTGGTTGAGTCCCCATCCCTGGATGTGTTTAAGAATAGGGTGGATGATCTACTTAGGGATATGGTTTAATGGGGATTAGGGACGGTTGGACTCGATGATCTCTAAGGTCTTTTACAACCTAGAAAAATCTATGAAATCTAAAGGAGGGGGGGGGGGGGGGGGTTGCTGAGGGCAGCTTTGGAGGGGGTGCCAAGCACCCCTGGGCACTGAGCACTCTAAAATGGGGACAAATTGCGAAAAGCAATGAAAAAGGATCACCGCGTTTTCAGCGCACTGAATGTTCTTTCCATCATCAAATAAAAAACCACACGTGGAACTTGTAAACTAGAAGATAAGGCTCCCTCCTGATCTGTGGGTCTTTGAAGAAGACTGTGCTCTGCACACAACGTACGGATCAAACGTCTCCTTTTGATACCTTTTCCCCCAAATTAAACCCACTGAAAACAACTCTGATCAACTCAAATTGGGCTCCGTGGAGTTTATGAACAAACATTGAATAAAGCTCAAAAGAGGCAGAAATACTGTTATCTTACACAGGTCACCTAAGCTGTTACGTAAATGAAGCAACTTTTCTCCTCTGCATTTAAAGCCCTAAATATCGGAGACTTTCAGATATAAAATATATCTGAAAAGTATATAAATAAAATATGTAGCTATAAAAATACATCTACCTATAAACACTGAAACTGTCCACACAAACAGAGCAGCATCTGGAAAACAACTGGCATCGACGACCTGATCTTTCAGTCTTCTTTTCAGTGTTAATAGTTTTTAATACTTTCCCATTATTCAGCTTAAATTCGGGTTTAAATAGATTGTGAAGGGCTGTGTTCCTGTAAATCAGTGAAGCAAAAAACCCCTAAATGTGCCCATGCTCCTTCCCTGCTTTCCTAACCAACACCATGTTTTGCTAAACCGCTTCTTGCAGCTCCCACGTTTTCTCAGCCTACAGTGAGTTACAAAGGCCAAGAAGCCGAGATGGTTGGAGAAAACCCATCTCTTCTCTAGCAGAATCTTAACGATGCTGCCAACTTAGGGCACTAAAAACCCCCAAAGTGATAAAAAGTCGGACTTTTCACCCTGCTCACGACTGTGCCCTGTGCCCGGGAGATGTCGCGGACTTCACACAGGGGCTGTAGGGCAGCAATGCCTCTTTAAACCACATGATGCCCTCTTTGCCAGCAGTGGGGCAGGACCTGCTGCTGGGATCAGCCTCTGCTGAGCGTTGCAGAGCCCCAGGCTGCGCTCACACCACGTCCTGGCAGCGCCAGGCACTTCCCAGGGCAGGAAACCCAGCGCAGAGCATTTGCCTGAATGAGCGAGTGGCAGAGCCGGGGTGGATCCGAGTGTCCTGCCCACTCTGCCCACCCGATCTCCTACCTGTCCCCCACCCTGCACTGCCAACGTGGGACCTCCTTTGGCACATCAGGAGACCAGCAGGACACGCCGAAGCCTGCCAAGGAGGTGAAACAACCCCTCCTGCCACCTCGGCACTGCTCCCACTGCACCAAGGAGCCATCCTCAAAGTGCAAAGGCTGCACACCTTTCCCTCAGACAGCACAGCCAAGAGTCACTTGAATGTCCTGTGTGCCAGAGCAGAAGCAAAACCCAGCGAATATGGCTGTCAGCTCTCGTTTCGTATGTCCTGATGCATTCCAGGGGCAAGGGGTGCACCCAGGCACAGACTGGCGCACGGTCCTGCGGCACTGCCAGCACCCAGGGGGGCTCGGCTGCGCTGGGCTGGTCCTAAGGGCCAGCAGCCCTGCGTGCTACAGAAGGGTGTTTCAGTGATCCCAGCCAGGTCCAGCCATGCTGGTTTGGAGACAGGGGGAACCCCTGGGAGATGCAGGATGCCCGGGAGCAGCTTTGCATGCCTTTCCCCAGGCCCTTCTCATGGGATGGGGCTCTCCATCACAGCGTCTGCTGCAAAGATGGACTAGGTCATGCTGTCTCCCAACTGTGGGGCTGCACACGGAGCTCTGAAAGGGCTTTTTGTAGGATTTCCATCAGTACTGGGAGGCCTGGTTGAGCTCTGGGTCACTGCAAAGGAAGGCAGTGAGCTGGTGACCTAATGGTGCCCAAATCTACAGGGGTCCAGCATGCGAAACCTCTCCTGGCACACTGAAACAGATTTCAGAAGAACGCCACTTGTTCTGAGAAAAAACCCAAAAGCTCGTTAGAAAACATGCCTCTTCCCACCAAACCCCACTCTGCCCTGGAAGAGGTTTCAGTTACGCTGAGGCAGAGCAATGCTGCACGCACACAAGCAGCGTTTTATGCTGAAAAATAAACGTCCAAGTGCTGCTTCTGAGTCAATGCCACGCCGGCGTAATTCTGCCAAGGCCACCTCAGGGGCCAATTTCCCCACACCGCTGACACTGGTTTTAGTGGGGGCTCTGCTGTGAAAACCTGGGAGCCACACTCAGAAGAGAAAATGGGCTAGACCTGGGAAGGACAGAATTGCACGGGAAGTCCTTTGAGGGACACATCCTCGTGACAGCTTTATTGGCATTCCAAACCAAAAATGTGGAAAATCAAGTAGGACCCATGGAGGTATTAAACCCTGTTGGCTGAAGTTTAAAATAACTTCCCATCCTACCTTCCTGCTACTATGAAAAGGTATTTTGCAGCTCTCCCAAACCCAACCAGAACAGCTTGTTACCAAGTTTCACCACACAACCGCCAGTTCGGCAACAGAAGGTATTTTTAAAGCTCTACCTCCTGGAGTCAAGTGATCATGAGAAAAAAATTCAATTTTCATTTAAAAAATAAAGCAGGAAAGATCTAATCATAATAATAGGGGGAGGAAGCTTGAAAGCATGAACCCTAAAGGCTTTGAAACTCTAAGGCAAATAGCAAGCTTGCAAACTTTCATGATTTCTGAAAACCTCAGAATTTGGTCTGCCTTTTGTGCGCTGCAGGAACGCTCCCTGCTTCCAGGTCTGGGAATCTCAGGAGTCCTGCTTTTTTTCCTTAATGAAATTTTTGCTCCTTCCTGCTAGGATTCATGTTCCCAAAAGGAAAAAATTACAGTTCTAGCCTAGATGACTTCTGCTTTAGATTAAAACCAAATGCAACGATTTTATCGGCAACAGGAGGAAGTCTAATGTGCCTTCCACCCCGCGCTCCAGCGTCAGCTGCTGCAAGGA